GAGGCAGAAGGATTGCCAGAGCCCAGCAGGTCGAGGCTGCAGTGGCTGGGAGTGTGCCACTGCACTCTTGTCTGGGCGACAGAGTGAGACTCCAATTCAAAAGAAAAAAAAAAAGTTGAGGTCAGTAGCAGAGCCAAGATTTAAATCCAGTCACAGTTAATATATTTCATCAGAACTGTCAGACCCTGATTAATTGCCATCCCCCCCCCCATGAAATCCTCAAACCTTCATCCTAAACTGCAAGTTTTCCCTTTTCTGCTTTCTTTCTTGCCTTAAAGCTTTTCACCATACCTGGGATACACTTAGTTCACTCACTAAATAAGTCCAAATTGTTTAGTTTAGACTGCACTCCAGTCTGGGCGACAGAGTGAGACTCCAACTCAAAAAAAAAAAAAGAAAAAAAAAAGGAAAGAAGAGAACCTCTGAAATATAAAAGCCATTGAAATGTAAAAGTAGACATTTTTTTCCTTGCTCCTCCTTCACTATCCTTGGATCTAGTAACTGTTGCTGGTACTAAAGGGAACACAACCATCTTTATTAAGCCTCCTGACAAGCAGGAGATATGCACAAAAGACTGCACCTCCCTGAAAACACCTCCACCAGACCTAGATAAAAAATGGGCTATTAAAACTTTCTAACACCCCAAAATATATCTATTCCCTTAGTCTCTAAATAACAACTGCTTTCTTTCATGTCTATGTATTAATTTTAGGTATAATGTCTAATGAAGCCTTGTAAACTAAAACTCCTGAAATAAAAACTGTAACCAACTAAAAGGTATACAGCCCAAATTGTTCAAGGCATTTGTGCTTCTGGTCTTGATATATCATTATCAGTTTACTGCGGTGGCCAGCCTCCCGCCCACCACCTGGAGTGATGAGCTACCTGTGGCTGGTGATGTCAAGACACAAAACTTATGTGATTTCTGTTATCTCCATCAGAAAGTAAAACTCTGGACATTTTTCCCAGCCTAAACTCCCCTTCAAGAGCCTTAAATATATTCAGTTCCCCAGCCTTCGATGCCACACTTACCTCAGAGTGTTGGCCCCCTCCCCTACCTTGGGGAGATAAATCTCTTCTTTCTCTCTCTAATTTATTTTCTAAATGAACTATATTTTCTAATCTAACTTCTATAAAATCTTTTACATCTTTCAGGCGGCATCGGATCACACACCAGGCACACTCATATCCCCAGCCAGCCTAACCTAACATTCTGGAGGGCCCACTGGTAGTGTGCCCTAACAAGTACGATCCTTGTTGGGTGTAATAACATGTTTATACTAGGTCCCTAGAATAAATTTGTAGACTTTCCCTTTTTTTCTCTCTGGAACTATTTATATAGTGTAAGAATTATCTGCTCCTTCAAGGCTTGAATAAATAGCCTGTGAAATCATTTGGGTCCAACATATTGCAGGTGGGAGGGAAGGAGAAATCTTTGGCCACGATTTTTTTTTTTTTTTTGAGTTGGAGTCTCACTCTGTCACCCAGACTGGAGTGCAGTGGCCGCTCCTGGCCACCGCAGCCTCGACCTGCTGGGCTCTGGCAATTCTTCCGCCTCAGCCTTCCAAGTAGCTGGAACTACAGGCATGTGCTACCATGCCTGGCTAGTTTTTGATTTATTGTAGAGATGAGGTCTTGCCAATTTGCCCAGGCGGGTCTCGAACCCTTGGGCTCAGGCAATCCACTCACCTATCAAAAAAATTAGCCAGGTGTGGTGCTGTGCTCCTGGAGTCCCAGCTACTTGGAAGGCTGAGGCAGAAGGATTGCCTGAGTCCAGCAGGTCAAGTCTGTGGTAGCCATGATTGTGCTACTGAACTCCAGCCTGGGCGACAGAGTGAGACCCCAATTCAAAAAAAATTAAACTCCGACTAAAAAAATTAATTAAAAATTAAAATATATAAAAAGCAAGATGCAAAACAGTTTGTATAATATGTTACAAACTGGGTTTAAAAATGGGAGTAGATATTCATGTACTATACTTGAATATGAATATGTCCAGAAGTCTACACAAGAAACTGATTACTGGAGAGAGAAACTGAGAGTCCTGCAAAAAGAGGTGGTATAATTTTCAAGGAAGTACTATTCGTTGTATTTCATGCAGTTTGAAATTTTTGCCATATATGATACATGTGTTACTTTTTTAAAAAACCGTGGCCACACTGAGCTCGGTGGCTCAGCCTGTAATCCCAGCACTTTGGGAGGCTGAGGCAAGTGAATTGCCTGAACCCACGGGTTTGAGACCCACCCGGGCAACTTGGCGATACCTCATTTCTACAATAAATCAAAAAAATTGGAAAGTTGAGGTGGAAGGATCATCTCAGCCTCCCAAGCAGCTGGGACTACAGTCGCATGCCACCACACCTGGCTAATTTTTTATTTTATTTATTTTCAAGATGAGGTCTCGCCAAGTTGCCCAGGCCGGTCTTGAACCCCTGGACTCAGGCAATTCTCTCACCTTGGCCTCCCAAAGCATGAGGATGACAGGCATGAGCCACAGTGCCTGGGCCTGTCCTCCTTTTAACCCAGCATCAAGGCTATCTTGAAATGAATGACCAAGAAATGAGGTTAGGGGTAGAAGTTGGGGGCATGTGGTGAGGGATAGATAACTAATTTTGGAGGTTGGCAAGGAAATAGAAGAGATTATCAATGTCCTCAGGGGAGTGTTGGGGACTTTGAGGTCAGATAATCACGGGGGTGGTGGGATGAGGTGGGAAGCTGAGGTTAGGGTTGAGAACACATGATATTCTCTTGCAATTAAAAAAAGAAAAGTTTTCGGCAACCCCTTTGGGTCCCCTCCCACTGTGGGAGCTTTTCTGTTCTCTCAATAAATCCTACTTTCTAAAAAACAAAACAGAACAAAAAAAAAGGTTTTATTCTTACTGGCCTAAATTTTTCTATCACGTCCACCAGTGTTTGTGCAAGTATTAAAAAAATGCATTGGTCTGAAGGAGACCTATCATAAGAATATAAAAATAAAACAACAACCAGCAAAAAAAAAAAAAAGCTCTATTAATTTGGAAATTTTGTCTCTATTCCACATTCTTCCTCCTTAAGATTACTACTTGGGTGCTTTCCTGGGTTGCCTATCCAAAACCATAAAGCACTTTATTTCACACCTATCCCCTACTTTGTTAAACGCATCGCCCCCAAAAGACACCCAGGTATCCTGACTACAGATTCCGTCACAATGGCCTGACTTCATTTTAGCCTGGGGCTCAGGTGAACTCTGGTGAGTACCACCAGGAAAGTCCAAGGATGAGGTAAGGAAAAGAGGTCGGGAATTGCAGATTTTGTTTGAAGTTATATTTAGAGTGTTTACCCTGTTTTAGACAGTGAACAAACTTGCTCCAAATGATTTAGCAACTTTGCAAGTTATAGTTGGGATTTAAAGGTCCCTTCTTCCCAAAAAAATGATGAAGGAGAAAAGTAATGTTGGAGGGTCGGTGTGGAGACAGTAGAGATGCTTAAAGAAAGCAAGAAAATGGGAAGCAGCTTGGTAGCGGGCTGAGAAGCGCAGAGAATCAGCAGGGCAGGGCCGACCACGGAGGGCGCTCCAGTTGGTCGTTGAGGGCCGATCCCTTCATGATGGAGTACAGAAACTTGAAGTTGCTCGGCGACAACTGCAGGGGAGGGAGGGGGCAGGCGTTTTCCCAGAGGTGCTCGGGGTCCATCACTCCGGGCCAGCTCCTGAGAGCGGGAGTCGGATGCGTGGGGCCCGGGCGGTAGAGAAGGCCACCGAGGGCCGGAGACCGACGGGGCGATCTGAGAGTCCGGGGGTGAGCGTTCAAGCCCGAACGTGTCTAGCGGAACCCGCGGCCCGGAAGAAGCACACTCCGAGGAGGAGAGACAGCTAAGGGCCGGGCAGCCGCTGCCAGACGCCTCTCTGTGACGCGGCCGCTGAGCGATGACGCGCTGACCCGCCGCGGCCTCCACGTCTCAGGTTCCGCAAAGGCCTGTGGGAGCGACCCGGGAGAAGGAGGGCCAAGATGGCGGAAGCGGCGGAGTCTCCAGGAGACCCGGGAACAGCATCGCCCAGGCCCCTGGTGAGCTTGGGATCTGCGACAAAAGGGACCGAGGGTGAGACAGAGTGCCCCCTAAGGAAGTCGGGAGACGGGCTCGAGGCCTCAGAGAGCCGGAGCTCCTTCCCCCCGGCTGGCCCTTCCTGTACCGGATGCCAGAACCAGTCCCAACACTGCACTTGTTCTTTAGGTTAACCGTTTTGCCCCTTGCCCTCCTCGTTCCTTCCATGTCTTCTTGTGACACTCCTATCCCCCCCATACTAGTGGGGCTCCTCTTCGTCCCCTACATTGTGTTAAATGCCGAGGTTTAGGTGGTTTCTTAAGTATCTTTTCTTACTCTGTCTCTTCATTTTATGAAAACCTGTTACCAGCCCTTGTTAGAGGAATAATGAGAAATTGTTTCCCATGCGACAATAACGTTTTATTGCTTATAACCTTATTTTTAAAACATTTTTATTTTTTATAACTTTAGTATTGACTTGTTTAGTGACCCCAGTAGACTAGGTTTAATCCCAACTTTTCCTGTCACAGCTCCTTGCCATCCTCTTCAGATACTCTCTTGCTCTTGTCTCTGCAGGGGATAGAATTTCCATTGTAAGTATAAGCCCAGAGTGTGGACAAGTATTTAAGAATACAGAGCCGGGCTCGATGGCTCAGCCTGTAATCCCGCGCCTTTGGGAAGCTGAGGTGAGTGGATTGCCTGAGCCCACAGGTTCGAGACCCGCCTGGGCAAGCCAGACCTCATCTCCACAATAAATCAAAAATCAGCCGGGCGTGGTAGCTTGCGCCTGTAGTTCCAGCTACTTGGAAGGCTGAGGCAGAAAGATCCGGAGCCCAGCAGGTCGAGGCTGCGGTGGCCGGGAGCGGCCACTGCACTCCAGTCTGGGCGACAGAGTGAGACTCCAACTCAAAAAAAAAAAAAAAAAGAATACAGGGTTTGGCTGGGCGTGGTGGCTCCAGCCTGTAATCCCAGCACTTTGGGAGGCCGAGGCGAGAGGATTGCCTGAGTCCAGGGATTCGAAAACAACCTGGGCGACTTGGTGAGACCTTGTCTCTATAATAAATCAAAAAATTAGCCAGGTGTAGTGGCATGTGCGCCTGTAGTTCTAGCTCCTTGGAAGTCTGAGGTGGAAGGATCGCCTGAACCCCACAGGTCGAGGCTGCGATGGTCGTGAGTGTGCCACTGCACTCCAGCCTGGGCGACAGAGTGAGACTCCAACTCAAAACAAAACAAAATGAGAATACAGGCTTTGGAGTTAAATTTACCTGGGCTGGAATCTACCCATTGTGCTGCTTGTGTATACTTAAGTCATTTCAAGAAGGGTGTTTCTTCATCTGTAAAATGGAGATAAAAATAACTGCCTCAAAGAGTTTTTAGAAATATCAAATGGCAAAATTTATGTAAAGTGCCTAATACTATCACTGCCACGAATTAAGAGGTATAACTAACTCAACATTCTGCCCTGATATCCCTCTTCCCAATGTGTTTAGTGTTATATAGTAGTAGCTCAATACATGGTACTTCCCTTTCCTATGTTTTAAATTGGCAACTTAACATAGTGAACTGAAATGGGAGTTAAGTGAACTTGATTCTAATCCTGGCTCCTCTGCTTACTAGCTCTGTTTGTTCATCTCATCATTCATTCAACAAATATTTATTGAGCATCCATGATGTTCCAGGGAACTCTTTTAGTCACTGGGGATATAGCAATGGAAGAGAGGGAGTTGGCTTAAGTTCTCGTGGAGCATTTGTGACCTTGAGTAAAATCACTCTGAATCCCAGTTTCCTCATTTGGAAAATGTTGATAGAAACTCATCACGGGATTAGTGAGAGGACTAAATGATCTAATATACACACACAGTGCCTACCGTGACATAGTCATAGTTGCTTAGTTGGTTTTAGTTCCCATCTATGGTCTATACTGCCCCAATCCTCTTTATGAAGCTTTCCCAGTTATCTTTAATAGTTCTAGTCACTCATTTACTCAGTACGCTTCTATTTGACAAACATTTATTGAATTCCTACAATGTGTAATGCACTGTGCTAGTTGCTTTAGGGAATACAAAGGGGGCCTGCTCCTATGGTGTTGTAGTCTAATATGTAGGGATAAGACAAATACACAATGTTAAAATAAGGCAATATATGAGAAAGTAACACATAAAATATTAGGGAAATTTAAAAGAGGATCCAATCATGTCCAGTTGTAGCATGTCCAGACAAGCTACATGGTAGAAGTTCTATTTGAGAAGGCCTTAAAGGATGAAATTTTAGGTGAGCATAATAGCTATCAGTGATTGAGCACCTGCTATGTGCCATGCATTGTGCTAGACATCCTCTGCACATTTTCTAAACCACACAGCAACCATTTCAGTTAAGTGCCTTTTGACTGCATTTTATGTACAGATGAGGGAATAAGATGCAGAGAGGTATGATGATTTTCCTAAGGTCTATATCCAGTTAGTGGCTAGACCAGAAATTTCAACCTAGACCTCATTTTGAAGCCCAGACTATTTCCTTTTATGCTACATAGCCATTAATGGACAAGGGCACAGAGGTTGGAAGATGCTAACGTAGTCAAAGAACAACAGAGATCACTTTGGCTGAAGCACAAGGAGATAAACCTTAAGTGGTAAGCCTACTGAATTAGGGAGGCAGTATGGAATAGTGGTTAGGAATGTGTGTTCTGGAGTCATATTGCTTAGGTTTGATTCTGAGCACTGTCATGTAACTAGTAGGATATTGGGGAAGTTACCAAACTCCTCCATGCCTCAGTTTTTTCATCTGTAAAACAGAGACACAGCAATACTTGGTTCATAGGGTCGTTAGATGGGTTAAATGACTTAACACATTGGATGAATTAAAACACTTAATAGAGTGCCTGACACATAGTAATCATGCAGTAAGTGTTATTTCTTATTGGCTACTAACATCAGAGGTTTAATGGCATATAGGAAGCCAGTAGAAATTTTTGAGAAGGATTTTTTTAAAATCATGAATTTGGTTGGGGGCAGTGGCTCATGCTTATAATTCCAGCACTTTGGGAGGCCACAGCAGGAGGATTGCTTGAGCCCAGGAGTTCAAGACCAGCCTAGGCAACATAGTGAGCCCTCATCTCTACAAGAAATAAAAAAATTAGCCGGGCATGGTGGCATGTACCTGTAGTACCAGGTACTTGGGAGGCTGAGGCAGAAAGATCACCTGAACCCAGGAGGTTGAGGTTGTCATAAACTGTGAGTGTGCCACTATACTGCAGCCTGGGTGACAGAGCAAGACCCTGTCTCTAAATATAAAAATAAATAAATACATAAAATCATAAACTGGACTACATAATGGAAGATGAATCACAGTGGGGAATATATGAAATCTAGAAGACTAGTGAAGCTGTTACAGTATTTCTGGGAAGAAATGATGGGGATCTGGACTACAGCAGTGGTGGTAGATGTGAGGATTATTTATTTATTTAAAGTTGGAGTCTCACTCTGTTGCCCAGGCTGGAGTGCAGTGGCATGCTCACAGCTGCCACAGCCTTGGCCTACTGGGCTCAGGAGATCCTTCCACCTCAACCTTTAGCTGGAACTATAGATGAATACCACCATGCCCGGCTAATTATTTTATTTATCGTAGAAACGAGATCTTGCTTGCCAAGTTGCCCAGGCTGGTCACAAATCCTTTGTCTCAGACAATCCTCTCACCTCGGTTCCTGAAAGGTGCTGGAAATACAGGTATAAGCCATTGCACCCGGCCATATATGAGGATTTTAGAGACAAGGCCGAGTCCATGAGGGTTTGTAGTATGCTAGGGAGAATGTCATAGATCAGTGTTTTCCAAACTTTAACATGCATAGCAATCACTTGAAGAATCTTGACAAGTTGCAAGTTCTGATTCAGTTGGTCTAGGAAGGGGCCTTGGATTCTGCATTTCTTTTCTTTTTTTTTTTTTTTTTGAGTTGGAGTCTCACTCTGTTGCCCAGACTGGAGGGCAGTGGCCGCTGCTGGCCACCGCAGCCTTGACCTGCTGGGCTCCGGCGATCCTTCCACCTCAGCCTTCCAAGTAGCCCAAGCTACCACACCCGGCTAATTTTTGATTTATTGTAGAGATGAGGTCTTGCCAAGTTGCCTAGGTGGGTCTTAAACCCGCGGGCTCAGGCAATCCACTCGTCTTAGCCTCCCAAAGTGCTGGGATTACAGGCTGAGCCACCGAGTCCAGTCGGATTCTGCATTTCTAACAGGTTCCCTGGTATACTGCTGTTGCTACTACTACTCCCAGTACCACACTTTGAAAAGCAAGGTTATAGATACCCCAGAGTATGATGTTCTGAAGAAAAATACAAAATATATGAGGAGCGTTAGCTGGATGAGGGCCTTAAAAGTTGATTAGTTCAGTTTTGGACATATTTAGTTTGAGATAGTGGCAGATTGTTCAGTAGATACCCAATAGGCAGTTGGACTTTAAAATCTGGACTTCAGGGCTCAGAAAAGATTAGGACTAGAAATGTTGACTTAGGAGTTGTCTGTACAGAGTTAAAAACACAGAATTTTGGGTGATGCCTATATTTAGGGGCAGGAAAAAGAATGATAATAATGGGCTCCTGGGCTCTGTGAGGAAGCTGGCCCAAGGTGAGGAGGCCTTGCCACTAGCCCGCTCTCCATCCCACCCCTGGGAGCCATGCCTTTTGAAATGAGCTGATTCTTGCTTAATGCTACTCTCTTGTTGGCTCATTTCTCTCTCCAGGAGTTTGGTCAGTAGTATAACCCATTTGCTCCCAGTCACTTTTTTTTTTAAGTTGCAGTCCCTGCTCTTATCATGTTCCCCTCACTGGCCCAAGTCAGGCAGAACAGTGTACATGTGTGTTTCTGTGCACATGTGTGTGTATATGCGCAGCAGCCTGTCTGCACATGAGAAAGGGTAGGGGCATGGAGTCCAAGTTACCTTTCTTTCCCACTGAGGGCTGGATAGAGAGCAGGGTCCATTATTTGAGGGCCTGGAAGTCCTGTCTGTGCTACAGGGTGCTGGAGGGTTACAG